CCGGTCCAGGTCCAGGTCCAGGTCCCGGGAGCGTCACAACAATACCAACAACAGTCACAACATTCACAACAACTGGTCCGAGCAGCGGGACGCTCCCGGTAAACACGGGGGCTTCAAAGATGAGTACTACTACGAGCAGCAGAGGGACGATGCTCAGAGACAGAGACAGGAGGCCTTTATTGCCAGGTGACTAATACAACTATCGATTAATCGACTGTAGTGTTTCCTTTCGTTTGATTAATCAATAAAGGGTGAACTTAGTGTCTCACTAATGTTCTGATTGTGAAGTTAGAGAGCTCACTCAGAGAGATATTAGTTAGTTATATAGTGTTTACAGTGGCAGATCAGAGACTTTTATTAATGATATTATATTATTAATATATAATTATCTATACATGAACATCCATGATCCAATTAATACTTTTGTTTATGTGTTTTTACTGGGAACTAGTTTAGAGCCAAACAAACCATAGATCAGTCCTTGTTTACTGTCCTTTAGACAGGAAAATACATTAAATAATAAAACAAGATAAATAAAACTCCTCTTAACATGTAAATCCTACAGGAATAATAATATATTGAGAATAAGGTTGCATTGATACTAGATACTTTACACTTCAACTTCATATTAGTATGAAAACTCCAATACAAACACAATACCTCAGCAGAAGAAAAGAAAACAGAAGGCAGGAAAAACAAGATTGTTTGTTTGAATTAGCGTCTGTACTTTCAATGCCACTGAATAATAGTATCACGTTGTCTTAAACGTGGTGTTAAAGAAGCATCAGAGTATTGGTGAGTTTGACAACCTTAACTGAGAAATACGAAACCAGTCTAAAAGATTTATTGAGTCACAGAAAAACACCAACGAAAACTATCAATGAGTTATTACACAGAGAGGAAAGAAGCCAATAAAATCGATTGTGATCAATATTTAGGGTTTTACAGTCTAGTTGTCTGGCAGGCAAACTTCTCTGAACACAGCTGGATGTCCTCTGGAGTTCATAAAAAGGAATCACTTGATCCCTCGAACAGTCTGCAGTCACTGAATCATTGAAAGCTTCTTCTGTAACTCGTGTCGCAGCTGAAATTGACTGTTTGAACTTCCTACTTACTCCTGCATCTGTCTGTGTTTCTGTTACAGACGTCTGCAGGAGAGGGAGAGGATCGGGGAGTTAGGTTGTCCTGAAGTCTGGGGATATTCACCAAGAGTCAAAGAGCCAGAGTAAGTTCAGAATCTCTCCTCCAGACCAACATGTTTATTGTTTGATATTAGTTTTTATTCTCCAGTACCGAAATCTGCGTGAACGTCTTTGTTTCGTCTCCACCAGCTCCGATGAATTCACACCAGTTGAGGAAGACGAGAAGAACAGCAGCTCAGAGTCGAGCTCAGAAGGTAAAACTCACGCTGTGTTTGAACATGAATATTCAAGTGAAAGATTTTTTTTACGAGTTTAAAAATCAATGAGGAAATCAATCTGTCGTTCACAGAAGAGAAGAAGAAGAAGAAAAAGAAAAAGAAGAAATCCAAGAAGAAAAAGAACAAAAAGCACTCAGAGGACAGCGAACTGGAATCAGATTCAGATGGTAAAACAATCATAGTTACTTTAAAGAAAGCTCAACAAAGTGCTTCCATTGAGTTGTTTTGGCTGAATTATCATGTTTTTATCTTTCAGAAGAGGAAATAAAGAAGAAGAAAAAGAAGAAGAAGAGCAAAAAGTAAGTGTTAAAGTGCAGCTCTGCCGGCTTCATCCACACGGGAAGGGGACATTTTGATTAACGACACACGTCTCCTAACAGGTCCAAGAAGTCCAAGAAGAAGAAGGCGAAGAAGAGCCGTAAGGAGTCCAGCAACTCCAGCAGTGAAGAGTCGGAGGAGGAGGAAGAGGAGGAAGATCCCAACGGGGTAATGTGGGTGGAGAAAACCTGCATGGACGAACACGTGGTCGGCCCCGAGGCTCCGCTCACCCACATGTCCCAGGACGACAGACCTCTGGAGTGAGTTCATCTGACGACAGCATTGTCACTGTTGTCACACGATAGCAAGACATTTTCTTCCCAATTCATAGTAAAATGAAAATATTTATGGGTTTTAGAGCGCTTGTTGGACAAAAATGTCTTTTTTTTTGAAACGTGTTGTAGGCAAAATATTAGTCAACAAAAATAATATGCAGCAATATTGAAATAAAATCAAATAATCATTAGTTGCAGCCGTAGCAGCAGCAGTGGTATGAACAGGTCTTTACTCTAAGAAGAGTCTGTGTTTACAGCACATATAATCTTTTATTTTACAGCGATGTTTACATACATAGATAGATATACTTTATCAGAATCAGAATTTATTGCCAAGTAGGTTTTTACGCCTACGAGGAATGTGACCTGGTGCAGTTGGTGCAATAAAATAATACACATATACAAATACAAATACAAAATATACAAAATATACAATCTATTCAAAATCAAACCACAAAAATCGACACCAGAAAAATAGAAGTAACTTTTGATCCCCAAGCTGGGAAAATTGCAGTGTGCAAGCAGCAAATTACACACCAGTAAGAACACAATAAGTATAAGAGAACAACCTAGACATAAAAAAAAAAAAAGCAATATAAAAAACAATTATTTGTTTTCTAAATGTATTTTTCTCCTCTCCCAGTTTCGGCCACGCGCTGTTGCCAGGTGAAGGTGCTGCGATGGCCGAGTACGTGAAAGCAGGCAAACGTATCCCGAGAAGAGGTGAGATCGGACTCACCAGCGACGAGATCGCAAACTTTGAGAAGTCCGGCTACGTGATGAGCGGCAGCAGGTGCGTGATGTTTACAACTATAAACTCCATCATATGATTTGTGTTGCAGCTAATCAATAATGGTTCAGATGTCAGCATGACGTAGTGGACGCTGCGTAATGTGTGACCAATATATATTACATTCCTCTGTAGTATACTGTTACCTAAAGTGGTCCAACACTGACCAATTTAAATGTAACCCTGCAGACATCGTCGTATGGAGGCTGTGCGTCTGAGAAAGGAAAACCAGATCTACAGTGCCGATGAAAAGAGAGCTCTGGCCTCCTTCAACCAGGAGGAGAGGAGGAAGAGGGAGAGCAAGATCCTGTCGAGCTTCAGGGAGATGGTGTACAGGAAAACCAAAGGCAAGGAGGAGAAGTGAATGTCACGTTTGTACAGGATTTACCCTTTTTACTGGACCCCGTTACCTCCGGTCCTGAGACTTGAGGTGTTAATGTTTTTTTGTTTAACAGCATTCAGTTTTAAAGAGATGTACGATGTGGAGGGAGGATTTTAATTGTAAAGAAATGTGTGCAAATGAGTCTGAAAAGTACTCAGTTGTATTATATTCTCCATCCTATTTACCCGTTGGATCTCGTCTTTCCTTTCAGTTGTTAAACTTTATTTTCTTCTGTATATTTTAGAATGGTAAATAAACTTTCATTATTAAGTCATCTTGTGGTTTTTCTTATTTCTGGTTGCCTTCAGAGATAAAACACAAGTGAAGAGATTATAGAATTTGTTTGTGAAGCATAGTTTTTTTTTTCCTTACTTCCTATATTGTTATTTTGTCACATTTGAGGGTCTTAAAACCCAGTTTCAGAACCACTGAATTAGAGAAATCTGATAATTATACCAATCAATGAGTGTGCATGTTCACCAACACTGCTACTGTAAATATTCAGTTTTCAGACAGTTAACTAGAGCTGGTGAATATCGGTAAAATAAAGTATGCTTCCTGTTCTAACTACTGATAGTGTAATATTTTGGATATAACAGTAATTGTGGATGGGATTAGCAACACGGCTGCAATGATTAATTTTATTATCCATTAATCTGTTGGCTATAAAATGTCCATGGTGACATTTTCAGATGCCTTTTGTTGTCTGAAAAAGTCCAAAACCCACAAATATTAAACTAACTGATATAAAACATGTAAATTCTCACATTTCAGATCATAAATTAAAGCATTAACAGATTATCAAAATAGTCAATTAGTTGTCTGTATATCGTCTGATTAATCGTTCGAGCTCTAATAGCAATTAAATCAGTTTTAAGAATTGTGTGTGATGCAGCCTTTACACCAGGAGACATTTAAGATAAATCACAACTAATCATGACCAACATCTGGGTCTCACCTTACAAATCTTTGATCTATTCCTCAGGGTAACACTGGGTTATTAGTTGAACAAGCAACAGAACATCTAAAGTAGAAGCTCAACCACATATAAACAGGTGCAAAGCATTTATTTGATGAGAGCACCAATCTCCCGTCTGAAAATCAACATATGAGCCATGAAGCCTCCAAAGGTTTCCAGTATGGAGCGGTTTAATTAACAAGAGAGAGACAGCCGTCTTACAAGACTGGAAAAACAAACAGCTGAAGGTTAAATAAAATATTTTGATGAACAGCAAATAAGTTTCTTCTCATCAGGGTCCTCATACTCCTTGTCATCAGTGGATGTTCTCGAGTCCCTGTTGGGGAAGAAGAAAACATCATCATCACTCAGATCTTTTAACAATTACTAAGCTTCATATTAACTGAGCAGGGAATAGTTGCATTTCTGCCTTCCAGACAGTGTTTGACCTCCATGTAAGTTTTACCATAACTCTGCCCACCTTCAGTGTGAGCAGAGGCCTCATTAGCCCAATATTAAAAACACCTGTGTGGGTGTGCAGCGACTTTCATTACAGCAGAGTTATGAATCAGCTTTGACGCAAGAAAATACTAAACTCTAAATGAATTTGGTACCTGTAGGCTTGTAGCAGTGTCTTTACTGCTAATGGTTGTAACTGGATCGTTGAATGAGGGATAATCAATCAATCATAATCCAATTATTAGAAATCATTATCCTTTCACTGATTTTATATTTGCCTAAAAACTGGTGGGGTCATTTTATAAGACATTTGATTTTTAATATTTACAGATATAGCTAGATAGATATTCCTTTATTTGTCCCACAATGGGGAAATTCCATGTTACAGTAGCAAAGTGGATAGAGAAACAACACAGTATAAAAACAGTAAGAGTAGGGAAATATTATCAATATAATTATAAAAACACTATTGTACAAGGAGAAAAAACGTAAGAATCCAAACAACAGATAACACAAAAAGTAGCAGCAGTTGCACATGGGCAATAGATTGCACAGTGAATATGGTATTGCACAGTGAATATACAGATATATTACTTTAATTTGACTTTATATCATATATAAGTTTTAAACTAGTAATGATGGAGGACCTGCCTAATGTTTTTTGTTTTAATGCTCATGAATATGATGTTCAGCAGTTGATATAAAATGATGTATTTATGTGGAGTTTACCATCTAACATTGTGTGTAGAGAAATAACTTGTATGTCTTTAATAAAAATGTGCACAACAATAAGATTAATCTGTACATAAAGACACTACCAGTGCATTGATAGCTGGGTTACAGCCCCACCTAGTGGAAAGGAAGGAAAACGTATGAAGAAATCACTGAACTACATGTTTTCTCAAACTCAATCCCAACACGTTTTATCCCAACACGTTTTGTATCCCAACACGTTTTATCCCAACACGTCATCCCAAACACGTTTTATCCCAACACGTTTATCCCAACAACGTTCCTTCCTATTTGAAACATGGACACTCACCTTGGTGTCAAAGTGCCTCCCTGTCCCGGACACCCGCCTGTCTCTCTCCATCAGAGACCACTGCCACGGAGTCCGAGCGGTCCTCTTCTCCTGCAGGGGAAACAAACAGCTTTAATCCAGTAGTTTAGAGTTTAAAACAAACAACAAACAGAGCACGTTTCACCCTCCAGCTGCATTCAACTCGCTCGCAACCCGCTTCCTCCTCACCTTCCCTCCGTTGGTGAACCTGTGGATGTACGTGGTGGCGATGCCGGGAATCATCAGACACACGGTCATAACGCCGAAGCTGGGCAGGATTTCATACCACATGACTGCAGCCTGTATCTGTCCGGCCACTAAAAGCTGCTCTGGTGACAACCAAGCTGCCCCAAGACTGCCCTCCACAGTTTATTTTGCTAAAAGCTAACAAAATGTCTACCCTTCTGACGACCTGTGATCCGCTGGCGGAACAACAATAATACTTCCGGTCTATTTCTTTTTCTTTCAAAAGAAAAGCGTAAGCTCTACAGAGACGGGGAAGTCTCATAAAAATCCTCATTATTGTACAAACAACTAGACTAGTGTGCTGTCAAACGATAGTATACATTCTGTGTATATTCTGCTATATTTATAATTACTTTGTTGAACGATTGCCTACACATCTAACTAACATTTTGGACTACATATTGAATATTACGGATTTTTTTTTTTACTCAGCAGCATTTATAATATGTAATTGCTATTGTAGATGAAATTATTATTATTATAACATCAGTTACTAACTGAACAGTCGCTCAGTTGGAGGGACAACCAGTGTTACATGAAAAATAAACTGCTTAAAAAGATTAACTCAAACGTGCATGCTTTTATTTTGAATGGCATTCGAAAACCAGGACGTTGTATTCCGCTGATTCTAAGGTCATTCTATTTTAATGGAATAAAATAAAAACAAAATTACTATTTCAGTCAAATTTCTAAACCTGAAGACAAAAACAAATAAACAAAGTAAAAATATAATTTTAAATTCACGTTACACTCTTGTTTTCACCGGTGGTTTCCCCCACAGCGCCCCCCTCCGGCGGTAACGCGGAACTGCAGGCAGAGAGGAAGTTAGCGTCAGTTCGAGCTACTTCTCAGCTAACGTGCTAAAAAAGTAAACAAGTCTGCGGGAAGAGATGAGATTCAACCGAGGCCCAAAGTAGCTTTTCAGTTATGAAGGAAGACAAGGAAAACACTCGTCCGAAGGATAGAAAAGTGGAAATAAAGTGTGAAGATGCAGAAAAGACGGAGAAGCCCAAAGAAAAGAAAGAGGCCATGACAAAGGTAAAAGTTGCTAGCTTCGTTAGCTCAGGAGGCTAAAAGTCGTCAGTTATAATCTTTAATGTTTAATAAGTAAACAGCGTGTTTTCAACCAGCTGTGTTTATTACATGCATACTCTACTTCGTATATAGTAAGTTGAAACCAAACTGTGACTATTAACCCAACTTTAAGTTATTATTAGATAATTGTTGTCCTCTTTTCCCAATTCGGATTGCAGCTAAATATCATGAACTGTCTTTAATCTTTATTAGATTGTGATCAGACGATTACCACCAAGTCTGACCAAGGAAGAGCTAGAGGAGCAGCTACAACCTCTCCCGGAGATGGACTACTTGGAGTTTTTCTCCAACGACACCAGGTGAATATATAATAAAGACGTTTCATAATTTAAAATATGCTTTAGTGAGTCTAATAGTTGAACCTGACATGTGTATTGTGTCCATTCAGCCTCTACCCTCACCTCTTCGCAAGGGCTTACATAAACTTCAAAAACCAGGAGGATATAGTTCTCTTCAGAGATCGATTTGATGGATATGTGTTCATCGACAGCAGAGGTATGAAGATAATACATTTACAGCTAAACACACAAACTCAAGGATGTCCTGATACATGAATTAAGGCTTTACA